TATATATATATATATATATATATATATATATATATATATATATATATATCATCTCAGATTACTGAGCATTATCTGTGCCAGAGTTTGTACGACACTGATGATGTAATTGATTTTGTCCTTTTCTCTGTCGTCCAGTTAGTTTTCATAATTGATCAAGGTGCTTTTGATGTTTATTCATAAATCAGATATAATAACTGAATGCTTCCGTTTTATTTCTCCTGCATGACGTTATGCTCCGTTTCACCCGAGGGTGATCGTTGGGACCTGAAAAGTCTGAATATGTTTCAGAGCTGGTTGAAGTCTGGTCAGGAGATAAAATCATCATGTCTGAGTTTGTCTCTTCTGTCACGAGGCGTATCAGCAGCTTTCAGGATGAAACGGGTTGACTAGTTTAAAGGTCAAAATGATCCTGTTTTATTCGTTTCATCACTTCAGCTCATTTCTTTCACCTTTTTCTTTCTCTTTTAAATAACCAGTTCAACAAGTTGTTCTAAAATTAGATCAGACAGACTTAATGGATGTCCTTGTCTTTTACTTATGGAGTGTCCCCTTTTAGAAAATCTATTTGAATGTAATTATTTTTTGCAGAAGGTAAAATAAATTGGCCCTGTATTCATCGTCGCACGCCGTTGTCCCTACAAACCAAAGTCACCTTCAACCCAGTTTCAGCTAAACATCATAAAAAAATCATTATCACGATGAAACCGTTTGGAGTGTTGCTTTCTTTATGCCAAGGTGAGGGAAGCAACACGGCAATTAAGAGAACAAAGCTGCCATTAAAGGCTTTATTACTCATGACACACCATTTTGTAAGATGGATATTTTAGGATTGTCGCTCCTTGTGGACTAATTTACTGTCTTATCATAATTGAGTTGTTGGAAAACAAACCTAGACAATTCTTTGTGAAGTTTAAAGAAGATAAATTAAGACATTTTAGACACTTTTAGGTAACACACTGACATAATTTGTTGTGATTTATCACCTTTCAAGACTATAAATATGATTGTATATTATTCTGGATCCAGTAAAATCATGGAATGGGGAAAACATGAGGAGGCACAACAAATTTAAAGAACAATGACAAAACAGCAAAAAGCCGTTGGAGGAAGACTGAGATGAAGTTCCTGCAGTCGTGCTGGGACAGCACCTGTGTCAGATGGAGGCCGGTACAAGGACGTTTCCACAGACTGGAGACCACGAGTGGACAATTAGACAATTAGAGCAGCTTTATTTTCCCGTATCGTCCCTGCGTCGCTCCTCACTACAGAATTGTCGAGCAGGAGGAATCAAAATGAGTCCACTGCAGAGCCGACTGAGAACAGAGGCACACGGGTTAAAGGATGAAGACTTTGTCATTTGTCTTTGTCAGTGCACGTGGGACTTGTTTACACTGAGTCCAAGTCTCTGGAGAATAATTAGACCTGGATGCATTGGACCGCAGCGTCTATTTAAGACTGCTCCTTTCATTGTTGGCTTTTAGGACTATTAAATCTTTAATTGTTACAACAGGCTTAAAGTATTTTAGATATCAGGGAGGAACCAAAAGGGGAGTCATGAAAGTTCAGCGACTGAAAGAACTCCGGTTCAACAACGAACAAGACTTTCATTAAATGCATTCACAACGTTCCTGCACCGATGCTTGCAGCAGTCAGTGTGTGACGAGGAGTCTCCTCTTTCTGTCAGAGACCCGCAGGAAGTCAAAATGTTAAGAAGGCTCAATTTTATGTCCTGATTTAGTCATCGTTTTACAACATATGTTCCTGCTAAAGTGCACATGCAGACAACACTTTCCCCAGACGGCTCAGCAGACGTGCTTCATTCTGTTTTTAACAACTCTGTGCTCCTTTAAGCTGGAGCTTATTGTGATAAAAACTATTTTCTTGTTGATTCCATGATCAGGTAATATTTGTCTTGGAGGGAATCCAAACTGTATCATCCAGTAAATATTTAGATGATGGTTTTTCATTCAAAGTGCTTTTTGATCATTTATTGAACGAGCTGAAGGAAAGATTGGGCTTTGATTATTGAAATAGAGCCTGTTTTAATTTAGGAATCAGGAAAATATTTCATCTGATCAAACTGTTGCATGCTGCATTTTAATTGTGTTAATTTCAGCTTTTTGTTGTTTGCTTGTTTATCTGTTTATGTTTTATATGAATTGTTGTGTTTAGCTTGAAAGTTTGTCCGTTTGTAACGCTGTGCCACCTTGCTTAAAATAAAGATGTTCATCTCAAGAGACTAAATGCAGGTTAAATAAAATAAAGAAATAAAACTTTGAGCAGAGAATTAAAAGTTTAACTTTAAACGTTGAATTTTGTTTCTCAGTTTTGAATCAAGAAATCTCATCAGATGAGAAACAAAACTATCCATCCATCCATTTTCCTTACCCGCTTATTCCATTTTGGGTCACGGGGGTCGCTGGTGCCCATGTCCAGCAATCACTGTGCGAGGGGCGGGGTACACCCTGGACAGGTCTCCAGTCCATCACAGGGACACATAGAGACAAACGAGACAAACAACCATTCACTCTCTCTCTCACACCTAGGGACAATTTAGAGTTACCAATCAGTCTAACATGTATGTTTTTGGTCTGTGGGAGGAAACCGGAGCACCCGGAGAAAACCCACGCATGCACGGAGAGAACATGCAAACTCCACCCAGAAAGGCCCCTGGACCGGGGTTTGAACCAGGGACCTGCTCACTGAGAGGCAGCAGCTCTACCAGTTGCGCCACCGTGCTGCCAGAAACAAAACTAATTTAATAAAAATAAAAAAATAATTAAAAAACAAGCAGTACCTGGATGCGTCTGTTGCTGAAGGATTTGAAGAGTGAATGTTTGTAGTTTTTGAGATGAGTGTTTTTCTGGACTGGAACTGAACAACAAATGAAAGTAAACCTAAGTGTTTTTAAGTTTACTGAAAATGTCTGACACGACAACAGAGTAAATCTTACCAACAAACACGACAACAGTCTGATGATGACATTTAGTCAAACAGCGTTGACTGCACGTCAACGTAAAAGAAACCAAAGCCAAGCGTGAACCTCCTTCTCTGCGTCGTGAGGAGGTGCACACGCACATGCACTTGTTTTCTCCGCTCCTTCCTCTGGGGCTTTGCTGGATTCACCTGTGAATAATAGAAACCAAACGTAGCCCGAGGCTGCAAAGAACGCAGCAGTCCTTCAAAAGTCAAACGTTCAGATCAAAGGACCGGTGGAGATCAGTGCAACATGCACAACAAGGATCGTGCACTATGAGTGTGTGCATGAGCGTGCACGCCTCTGCTGTGTAAACGAGAAGTCCCTGAAATGATGTCCTTATGGGACATGATGGCTGTTCCTGTCACACTAACTGGGTCCTGACTGAATAAATTGTCTTGTTGTAGATATTCTGAAATCATATTTCAACTAAATGAGAAATCAGACTGATAACGCTCCTGCCTGAGTCGGGGGGGTAGATTATGTATATTTGCACTCAACACTTCTCATCATTTACTTCCATGAATGCTGGAAAATGATGTTAAAAACTATGCAAATATAATTTTCAAAACAAGAATAAATATTCATGAACGTAGTAACATCCATGCATCCATCCATTATCTTTTACCCAGCTCTTCCTTTCCATGTTGCGGGGGTCACTGGTGCCCATATCCAGCAGACACTGTACGAGGGGCAGGGACTGGAAACTAAAAATCTTTATATAAACCGCTCTCTTAGTTCCTGCTGCTCAGAAAGGATCCAGAGCTGATTGTTGTTTCGACCTGCACAGTTCCAGGCAGATGAAGCAGGATGACGATGAAGAAAATAACAATAAAGTTTGGAAATGAGCCAACGAGCCAGAAAATATGTTGTATTATGTGTCCCAAAAGTTTTTACTTCAGGTAAAGTCGTGGAAAAGTGATTCAGCTTTGACCATGTAAACCTTTATAAATAAAAACACCGACCGTTCTTTAAGAGGTCATTATTCTACATTTCAAGAGAGAAAAGTCCGTTTCTTTATGAGTCTCTTGTGTTTCGGTGCTTGCACACGTGTAATTAAAGCAAAAGCAGAGTTTAGATATTTTTATTTTATTCCTGTCGGTTTGTTTAAAATCTGCCAGTAACTGCAGCTGAAGTTCACTGAGTTGTGAACGGACACTTCCAGTTCTGTTGAGCAGAAAATCCCTGAATGCTGCTCGGGCAGATTCGTGCCACAGCAGCTTCTTCAGTTTCCTTTTCTTCTCATTTCTTTTCTTCATTTTGTAAACGGCAGTGTGCAAAAACATTTCAACACGTCGTTTTTGCTGACTCGTTGAAAATGTTTGTCCAATCAATAAGTGTGATTTTACAGTTTGTTTTGAAATTATAAAATGAGGAATTTTACAAGAATCATCTTGGACTTCAGGTCCAACTCACAATCCTGCATCTGCAGAAGTTCTGGATGATCTGCCATTGTGGGCTGCACCACTGGTGACCAGGAAGATGAACACAAGATGAACTGCAACTCAACGCTGGAAAACCTAAAGAGCTGCAGGTGGACTACAGGAAGAAGATCAGCCCCCCCAACCCCATCAACATCAAGGGTACTAAGGTGGACACTGTGGACTGATACAAGTACCTGGAGGTCCAACTAGACAATAAACTGGACTGGACAGCTAACACCAACACCTCTGCAAGAAGAAGATTCACCTTTTTCTTCTGAGGAGACTCGGGTCCTTCAACATCTGCAGGACCATGCTGCAGATGTTTTACCACTCGGTGGTCGCCAGCGTCTTCTTCTGCTGTGGTGTGCTGGAGCAGCAGGGTGAAGAAATCTGAGGCCAACAGACTTGATAAACCCATGAAGAGAACTGGTTCAGTTCTGGGAGTGGAGCTGAAGTCTCTGACAGAAGTGTCTGAGCAGAGCATGCTGAGGAACCTGCTTCAGATCCAGAACAACAGGTCACCCCCCCTGCATGACACCCTGGACTCTTCCTGCAGCACCTTCAGTCAGACTGAGACCACCAGGTGCTCCACAGAGCAACAGGAAGTCCTTCAAACTTTTCAACTCCTCCCCCTTTCTACACAATAAAATTAATCCTGCACCAAAATAAACTCTTTACTGTTTCTGCGTGCACCTGTTTAGAACGTAACTGTTGGTATTTTATATATTCTCTGGTATTTTATATATTCTCTGGTATTTT